ATTCTACGTCAATGTTTTGTGCTAGCCAGCTCCTCTCAACCTATTTGTAATAATAAACAATTCATGAATCATTCATTCATAAATTGTAAGTTGAATACACTTTATTGCGTACAATTACAATTATACAAAACATTTACAATCAAAACCAAACACACAAGGCGGCCTTATTGCTAAGGGTAGCAATTTCTATCAGGCTACCCTTGACCAAAGGAAATTATACCAATTAAAGAAATGAGTAAGTAGTGGGTTGATCGATGATAAATGTAAATGTATTCTTAATACAAAATGCTTAAAAAATCCACTGGTACTACACAATTACTATAAAAGAGAAAAAAAAGAAAAATAAAAATATCTCTTTGATGTGCAATATTTATATAAGTAATCAAAAAACAAACGACTACGATCTTTATATTACAGTTTGGAATTCTCTATAAAGTTTTTTTTATATGGTTTCACGTAGGAGTGAGATGGGAAACCTTTGAAACAACCGTATTGTATTTGAAAGTCATTTTGTGCTTAATAAGAAAGAAATAACCTACAAAGTTTATATAATTTGTTATCAATGTCAACTTAAGATATTTTACATACTTTATTTACTAAATCTCTTTGATGTCAAATGAATGTCATAATTTATAGATTCTTGCAATAGCAATAAGTAAACTTCTTAATAGATGATAGTATTCAATAATTCAAACTACTTCATCCAAAGATTCATATCAGCAGTTGCTTTATTTACTCTTTATTGCATTAAATAAAAAAAATAATACATATGGCGGATTAAATGCCAAGGGCATTCTCTACCAGTCAACCTGAGCGAATGTTGGATTTGCATGTTAGGCGATAAAGAACGATATCGATATATCCAGAAAAATTACAAAATAAAAAAAATTAATATATATAATTAAAAATATTGAATAATTACATAAATACTAATTACACATACATACAATACATACACATAAATAACATACACATAATACATACACATAACTAACATACAGAATGCGAACGATACATTTACAGTCCGAGATAGTGCTCACGCACCAATTTCCTGAATATCATCTTACGCTGAGCATTTCTAATGTGAAACGGAAGAGCATTCCAAAGGTGAATAGCTGTGAGGGTAAAGGAATTAGAAATAAATGAAGTATGATGAAAGGGGGTTTGAAGAATTAGGTTGCTACTAGAGCGAAGATTACGCTCATGACCGGAACCAAGATAACGAAAGCTAGATTTGCTTTATGCATTCAAAAGCATGAAGCAAAGGCATAAAGGATTCTAATCATGGCTTATATTCAAAAGCTACTAAATATACCATACCAATTCATAATTGCTCATAAGCAGTCCACCCTGGCTTTCATGAATGATGTATGTACCTAATGAAAATTAAGATTACTTCATTGATCTTGCTTTTATATCTTGCCTTGCGTCCTGGTAATAATGAACAGCCAAAAATAATGCTCTAATACGTGTATTTGTATGATCATTTTGAAGTTATGATCATAGATTTCGACGATTTGTTATATTTATTATACTAGCGATTTTCCTGTACCGCGCGGTGTATGGCCTCCGGGCCGATCCCGCGCATCGCCTTCCATGAGAGGGACATCGCTGAGTTTTAGTGGGTAAACTTCTGTTTCTTGTCTAGCCCCTTCGGGGGTGGGGCCACAGGAGGAGTCCCACATCACCCGTGGAGCCCGCGCAGGGTGAAGCGGGTACGCGTAACGCATTTCTCAGCGTCAAAAAAAAAAAAGCTATTTTCCTGTAATAATACTCGCGTAAATTATATGAACCTATATCAACACCGTACGATGTAATTACCCGTGAGTGAAAGAATGTTTAAAATCGATCCAGTAGTTTCGGAGCCTTTTCGATGCAAACAAACAAACATACAAATAAACATTGAAATTTTTCCTCTTTATACAATTAGTATAGACAAGTTCGAATTCGCATCATAAATTATCGGAATTTGCTTTTCTTTGGAATCGTATTAGCATTTCGACAAAATTTCGAAGAAATAGACCTATCAAGTGACAAGTGTCGTATAAATGTGAGTGATAAATCAAGTGATGTATGGATAGGTAATCTTTGAATTCGCCATCTTTCATTCATTTCATTTTCATTTACATGTAGAAATTTATTTATTCAATTGACATTGGCAGAATTGTGCAAAATGCGCAAATAAACCATTAATTAAAAAAGAAGAAGAATTTATTAAAAAAACATAATATCAAATTATAAAAATAAGTGTTACAAAATTCTCTTTTATGTATTTAAATATTGTAGTTATAGTGTTATTTGCTTTTGTGTTGTCCTTTTATGTATTTAAATTATTGTAGTTATAGTGATATTTGCTCTTGTATTATTGTTTTTTTAATAGAGAAAGAACAATCTCAAGGAAGAATTGATTAATTACCGTACATATGTAATTATAACTACCTTTCAGTCTCTTGAATCACGTGTCTCTCTCACTACGGGATGTTGGCAAAATTTCCGTGTATAACGGTATAAGTCCATATTGAAAAAAAAAACAGTGGTACGCTGGAAGACTCATCAGCTTGTGGCCGTAAACACTTAACAGTTTAGAGACTACAAAGGCTACAAAGGAAACGAAACTTTTCATAAAAATCGGATAATCGCTAGTCAGAGATGCACACAAAGAGCTCTACCGCACGATATTAACATTAGACACAATGAAGGCCTTAGTGAATACGGATTGTGGGTGTTAACGACAGCAGATGCAGCCGGAACTAAAGGCTTATACGCCTTCTGACACACAAAAGAGCTCTAGATAATGAATTGTTACTAATCCATTCGATGGACAATATTTACGAAAGTTCTAATGAATACACGTATTGCGTTAATCAAATCAAATTTTACCCTGTCAAGCATTTTCTATGAATTTGACATTTATTCTTACTATCAAGCTCATTCTATTTTATTAGTTAATTAAAAATGTAATCTTTTCGATTAATATCAATACGAAAAAAAAACTCGATCGTTTTTAGTAAAATATTTTAAAAAATTGCATTATTATCTTTAGATATTACATGTAGTCGTGTGAGGAAAAAACGGTCAGATGAGAGTCGGACACGTGCATATAAGGTTGTTAAATGGGCTCCTTAAATATTTGTTTTATTCTGGATTTTAGTATCTATTGTTGTAGCGGAAACAGAAATGCATCATCTGTGAAAATTTCAACTGTCTAGCTAGTTCATAAGATACAGGAAAAAATTACGTTTGTTGTAAGGGAGACTCCTTAAATATTTATTGTATTCTATTGTTGTTGATGTCTGAGTTCTTTTTTAAACATAACGCAAAGATTATGGAAATATTGGTACTCTAACAAACCACAAAATTAAAGAAAACAAATGGGCATTTGATATTCTACTGTTAAACAGCATACAATAACTTAACTACAATATGTCATTCAATTAAAGTGTTCCCAATAATATACTTTATTTAAAAATTCATTTACTGAATGAAAACATTTATCAAGTAACCATGTTTTCAAACGTGATTTATATAATTTTTCTGGCAAGAATTTTAGTTCACCTGTACATTATTATTAAATATAATATCTTTATTGGGATCACATATGAGTTTCTCTTAAATAGTCGGTTCTAATATATGGCAAATGTAATTTATTAGGAATTTATGTGTTAAAATTACAAATATCTCTTTTATTACATACAGTTCTAATTCAAACAAACAAACATACTATTTTAAAAACACAGTAACGTCATTATATCGCCAGATTAATAATTCTCCATCAAATTATGCTTATTGGAAAAATTAAAAACGAAAGCTTCCGTGTTTATTATAAATCAGAAAAAAATAAATACTACAAACATTTAAAAATCAAAATCCATTTTAAAAATAAGTAATTTCATGTAGTGCTCAATAGAGGCAGCCAACAGCAACATTTTACTTTTTCGTGCTATTAATAATTTCCTAATAAAGTATGTTATTGTAAAAACCGCAAAATTGAAAACGAAAGCTACTTTTTTGATAAAAATCGATAATTACTACAAACATAACAAAACACAAAACTTCCTTTTAAGAGTATAGAAGCATCATTTAGTTCTCAATAGAGGGAGCGAAATGAAACCTTTTCCTGTACTTAACCAATATAACATATGCATTTAATATCAGCGCTAAAGATTGTACCGATTAAAATTATTCAAAACATTATTTATTCCGGCGTAAATAGCTTCAATCATTTAATAATGGATTTGGAAAAGAATTAAAATGATAAATTGAATTGTAAACAACAATTGCTATGGTAACGATTTAATACCCTATACAAACTTCCACTCCCATTTTCATCCCTTTATGTCCTTTTTTTGGATGATATATAAGATTGACATATGCTGTCGCGGACTTTTTTAGAACTTTTAAAGAAGATGAATTTCGTAATACATGGTTTTTATGTAACTTTGAAAAAGTGAAATATTCTCCCGTTTTTGTAACATTTTTCATTGTTGCTCGATAATTCTAAGAAAATACCAGAAATCTACGAAACAAAGAGGTCGAAACATTATCGATCAACTATACACCTTTCGAAACATTTGCTTAATGTTCACAATAGGAGTCAGTACAAATTAAACATTGTGATTTTAAACTCGTTAACGAAGTTTTTATATTCGAGGAAATATTAAGCCACTCTCGCTTGAAATAGCATTTCTTAAAAACGTGCCTAATGGGTAGCAACTTGTAATTTTAATTTAATTGGTCTCACCAACCACGTATTTTTAGATTGCGTACACGTGAACTTTATCACTATGTCGACAAAATGTCTGATACAATGAACGCCATGTCAGACTAAAACAAAATGTAAATTCTGGTGATCGATTGTGAGCTTTAATTTAGACTTATCAAGGTAGATATGAGAAATATAAGTTTCGGATAAACTGATCTGATGTTGATTGAATTTTATATCTTAAATTGTTTTTGATTAATTAAAATGTTTTTTTTTATCTGCTATCGTTAAACCGGATAAGCTCTTAATTTTACTTAGATTTAGAAGGATTACTAATTCTTCAAATTAAGTAAACCTTTTTCTTAAAAAATAAATAATTAATAATAAACGATTCGCAAGAAATATAATAAATCTATTAATGAAATATATAGTTTAAAAACTATATACTGCCAGACTATATGACAATGATATAATAAAAGTTTCTAAATCATAACTAGGTACTACTATATTAGCGATTTAGGCAAGTCTGAAATTAAATTTTAAATTTTAATAATCGAAGTATGCCAATAATTATTGTTGAAAGTGTCAGGGTAAATAATACTTAACATCATCAGCCCTTTTACGTCCCCACTGCAGGGGCTCAGGCCTTCCTTGTGGATGGTTAAGGAGTGTGGGCCATGACCCTCCACGCTGGCCCAATGCGGATTGGAGGGTATTAACGACTGCATATGCAGCCGGGACCAACGGCTTAACGTGCCTTCCGAAGCACGGAGTAGCTCGAGATAATAATTTTTTGGTCACCCATCCCGTGACCGACCCTTGCGAAAGTTGCTTAACGACTATGATCGCGGGCCGCGGCGCTTATCCAATACGCCACCGAGCTACTTTCTATATATATATTTATAAATAAGACATCTTCAAGATAATTGTCAATATTTTTAATTCATCTAGTAGATGTATGGACCTAACAGTGTTCTAATAATTTAATTACATTTTTTCCTTGATATTAATTGAACAGTATATGGCTGCGGTGCGGATATCAATCCGATCAATGGCGAAGGGGAAGGCATCTCATCGCTACTGCATTCAACCCTAAACTTCTGCAGTATGCCAACAAATACAATGAAAACAAATGATTTAGCCAGAGAATCACCTGGACAACGCCTGCGACCTGCAATAGCAAAAACAAAAATACAACAGATACTTTCGAAATATAATTTAAAAATTCCAAATCAACTACAACAAACACTTTATATTTAAAATTTTATTTCTCGAAACTCTAATAAAGTAAGAAATATCCAAAATAATTCACTTGAAACAAATAACATAACAAATTAATAATAATGATATTTGTTTATCGGGACGAACCTAAAAATATAGAACGGTTGTGTCGGAGTCAGAGGTGATCATGGTGTTATAGTAGTAGATGTATAGGTGTTACATTTTAATTATGACCGTGTCTAACACAGTACTTATTAATTCTATGGTCTAACCGGTTTCTGAATTGAGTACTTAAAGTGAAGCACATCTCAAACGTCACTTAAATAGCTTTTTCTTTCTGATTTTAGTTTTTTTTTTAATGATCAGTTGATAGCAGTTTGATAAAAACTGTGACTTTTTGCCTTGTGAAAAAAGAAGTTAAGTCATTGAGAATAATCAGTTGAGATTTTGAGATTTTTTAAATTCAGAAACTGACCGTAAATAATTTCCATCAACTGTACTAAAGTCAGCTGAATGGAAAGCACTACTAATCTCACGTTTAAAAAAAGCAAAAGTAATGATGAATCCGTCTACACGAATAAATACCTACCTAGTCCAAACGGATACATGTGTTCAGTATTTTTCAATGCCCCTCGCTCGTCTATAAATCGTTCAGGCTTAAAGTCATGCGGATCGTCCCATATTTTCGAATCGAAATGTAGATCACCAACTGATATTAACACGGTGCAATCCTTTGGTATTAAATATCCATCGATGACGGTATCCTTCAATAATCTCCTTGGTCCAGCTAATGGTACTATAGTATAATACCTTTGCACTTCCAGTAAAAATGCTGATACGTATATTAGTCTGTAACAATTGTTTAAAGATTATTTTTGATACTATTGGCTGCAATATAAACATCGATTCACATTTTAATGCATAATGAGATTTCAAACACTTCAGGTATAGACTAAAACTGTTAGGGCAGTATGAGGTTGTTATGATTGATTACATCTATTAATATCCTCACTGCTGGGGCTTAAGACTCTCCTACGTATGGATTCGAATAAGGAGAACGGGCTTTGACCCACCATGCGGGCTCATTGCAGATTGGTGAGTATAAACGCTGGCAGATGCAGCCGGGACCAATGTCTCAAAGTGTCTTCCAAAGCACGGAGGAGCTCGAATACATTTATGGTCGTTCACTCTATAACTGACCATTACGGAAGTTGCTGACCAAACACTACGCCATCGAGCACCTCATTGCTTACACCTTTACATTATTTTCTTTACTTACAGTTACATTAAAATGGTTTATAATAAGATACAAGTACTATCCAAACTTTTTGTGGAATTTGGTGGTGAAATTACAATTTACAGTTTTTCTATTATATTATTATGTTTGATTAATTTTACATTCACAATGCCATATTAGAAAATATTCTTAAAAATGCCTAAACAATCCACCTTTTCTCTGGAAATCTAAGATGGGACTCGAAACCACTAGCTTTCGCAATCCTGCGACTGCTCTAAGCAACTCAGGACCTAACAGGTCTATTGAATTTTTCGAGCACTTGTTTCCTCTCTCTACTACAGAGAGTATTTTCATCAATTTTCAGGCAATCCACCCAAACATTGATGAAAATATACTCTGTAGTAGCTGATATATTTTTTTCCAAGCAAAAAGGTTACAGCTCATTCAAACAATGCACTGACTCCAAGTTCAAAACACACGCAGAGCAACCGCAAAACTTTCCTGATTTATTGTTTCACAATAAAAACACAAACTTATTTTTTATTTATTCAATAAAAGGTTTTTTTAATGAATAAAGACTGAACGAAACTAAAATATTGTTGCATTTCTTCGCTATTTATTATTCCAATGACGGTACGTTTCATAAACAAAAGATGGTTCATAGAAGTTTTTGATCAGTATTAACATAATAAATTACATATTGTAAAAGTATAAAATGGAATGATTCACATGATCAGTCTTTCCAATAGAACTGCGACCTGTATCTGTATATGTACCTATATCTGTGTATAATTTACGGACTGTTCACGCGCGTCTGATGTATCGTACAGTAGATGAAAGAGTTTTAAAAATAGCTCAATTAGTTTTTGAGCCAATTCAATGCAATCAAAACAAATCTTTTCTCTTTACAATATACTAACTGTTTTCTGCGAATTCACACGCGTAAATGAACGCTCTAGGTGAATGAATATTTAATATCGGGTCAGTAGTTTCAGAGTCCATTAATACAAACAATGAAATATTTCCTTTTATAATATCAGTATAGAAATATAGATAAATAATTATAACTCAACATCACATACACATAATAACTACAACATCAAGACCTGAGACAATATATGAAAGTTAATTTTCCATATGATCCGACCGGGATCGACCCCGGGACTTCAGAGATAACGAGACATTGAAACTTTGCCACGGTATTTGTCATATATGTATTATAATTAATAATAATGGCTTCGCGCGCGTATGATGACTTGATGGTACATTTCTCCCTTGAGCATAAATTAGTATGATAGAAAGTTGTCTATGAGTTGGATCCAGGCTGAGAATTACCCGTATACTAAATTTTACAATAATCCGTACAGTTATATTTGCGTGAAGAAGTAACAAACATCTAAGCCTATGAACTTTTGACTTTGTAATATTAGTAAGATAAGTTTTTAGTTACCAACTGTGATAAAAGTAAAACTTACCACAGCATTTAAAAATGTTAGAGAGCTTCATAATAACAGCAGTAGTTATTTAATGCAAGCTTACATTATTCGTCGAACATAGGAGAACTTAATTAATACCCAATAATACCAGTTTAAGCCTTGGGTTGTCACTAAAGTTAAATGCAGGTGTGTTTAAATTTTATTCAAAAAGGAAAGTGCAAGCACGTTGGTTTTTGACATTTATATTAATCACAAAGTAAGAAAGCTATCTTCACTAACATTATAACGAAAAGTTACAAGACGAATTTTTAAAAATTATTCACTAAGAAGTCGGATATATTTTTTTATTATCAGCACAGAAATATTTGTTTTTATATATCTTGATATGTGTCTGTGGTCATAGGCTATAATTTAATAAAATATATTACTTTCACAAATATGACTACTGTAGTGTACCACAATGAGTACCAAGTGTACTTATTTATATTTTTGTACTTTCACTAAGAAAATAGGATTCCCGTCAGTAAAAAAGATAGCCATGTGCATATTTGAAAAATACCATAACAATACGTCTAACAATGGAAACATTACTAATAGTCAGATTTTCCATGCCGGTTGATTTATTGAAAGCTAACAATATGAAAATTCACCATTAGCAAAATGCACCCATGCAAAAACATTTATTTCTAAAACAAACTTTCGCTAAAGCAAAAACGCAACAGGTTTCTTTTTATGGTTAGCATTTACAGTACAAAAGTTGATGAAACAGCAAAAACATAATATTTCTTATCATATAGACAATTTAAAATAAAGAAATAGTCATTTGTCCACAGAATAATTTTAGTAAAACGAATTCACATATTGCTAAAAAACAAAACCATATTGGTCAAGTTTGACAAAAGTTGGAATTCGACAGTTGTCAAGGCGTCAGCAGTTACTACAAATCAAATGACTTTAACAATCCTCATCCCCGACTTTTACAATTTGTGCTAGACGACAAAGTTCTGACGATCTGTCTTGTTTTTTCGCTATCATATTCAGCGTCAGACAATTAACAAATGACAGTTCTATTTAAAAGTTAAATCTTCAGCCTCCCACTTTTAAACTAGTTTGCAATAGGAGCTTACCTGTGACTATCAGCCCAGCAAGGCGGATCGTCTCCCAGAAGTTTGTTAATTTCGCTGAACAGTTTTTCTTGCAGCGGTCTGTTGCGAAGTACGACGAGAAAAGCAAATTCTAGGACGTTACTTGTGGTTTGCGAACCGGCAATGAGAAGATCCAGGCAAATCACTTTTAGTTGTTCTTCTGTAGTAATAAGAAATGTGAATTCAATAAAACTAATGTTGTGCTTTGAAAAGTTAGAACTCGATTAAAGTAGTTAAAAAGTAGTAATCAGAATACGCATGTGTGAAACATTAAAATGGGCCTGATAACAAAAAGAATACTAGCATAGTACGAAAACTTGGCTAAATACTGCCTATCGCTAATTTTACAGCTTTTCCCCCGTGGGTTTATCTATTTTACTACAATTCTAATTTACTTTTCTCACTTCTTTATTATTTGTTACGGAGTTTCTTTTTTGAATTAAATTGTGGTCCATAAACAACAATGAGAAATAAATTCCAGTGCAAGTGAAATGGTACAAAGTCAATTGATTTAATATGGAGTTCAATGCTATTCTGTTAATTGAAACGCCGCTTCTCATCAACGGAGTGGCAACCTAATGCGTTGTGGTTAAATTGTCTTTGACCAAAGAGAATTCTGCTATTCCATTCCGCAAATTCAATTCAGACTAGCATATGCGAAGCCATTTAATCAATGATAGCCTCTATTATTGCGTCTTCACGTCGTTAATGGTTTCTATACTATAAATTAAAAAAAAAATTATCCTTTTAAATTGTTTTAGGACACAGCTATCTTCCGATGAATTTGTGTCAGTTTTTTCAATATACCGAATTGTCAGTGGTAGTTTTTGAAGGCCGAGTTGTGTGTAAAGAAACATAAGTTTATGGCTCTGGAAATGAGAATTATATAATTACGTATTCTTTATATTCAAATAAATTATTGCCCATACTTACTCTTATAATCTAATAAATCAGTGAAAACGCTGTTTGGAAAAGCATTAAGTTATTAAAAAGGTAAAAATAAGGAATCATATTGATAAAACCCAATTAATATTATATTTTACTACATTTTATATAATATTGGTTCTTAAAATTTACTTAAGTATGTTTAGTTTATAGCTTAAATTATAGGAAATACAAAATTTGCCTAATATAAATCACATATAGACTTTTTAAGTTTTTTTTTTTTGTGTTTTGAAAGTGAAGGCTCCGTGAAAGAAATAAAAGAAAATATACATCTTTAATAATGCCAATTTGCTATTCGCGGCACTCACCCGTGAATGAGCTTTTATTTGAATCGATTTCTTGTAAAAATGAATATATGAAGTCTTGCTCTTGTACTGCTCCAATTTTATGTTTATTTATGGCTTCCTGAAATGAATAATACAATAACTCCTTTATACAATGTAACAGAAGTACATAAAATAAAAATGATAATGGAATATAATTATAACTATGTTGGAATAACAAATTTCTTTGAATATGCCATTTCGAAATGAGCATGAGTTTCAATCATAAAAGTTTTCAGAAAACGCAAAAATCTAATAATTATTTTGTATGTAGTGTTTTGACCTTAAATTTGAGTTCACATTATGACGTCACTATAAAGAATACGAGTAATTATGGACGGTTAAGGAAGATGGGCCAAGACCCTCCGCGCTGGCGCAATGCAGATTGGAGGGTATTAACGACTGCCAATGCATTCTGAAGCACGGGGTGGCTCGTGATAATCATTTTTGGTTCCGTGACCGACCCTTGCGAATGTTGCTTAAATCGTGGGCCACGGTGCTTACACTGAGATACTCTCGGTAAAGGTTACATATTCTTAAAGGAGAGCATTTAAAACACAGCGAAATTAAAAAGCGTATTGGTAAAAATTTACGAGATGAGCCCTTTTTGAAATTGCTTAAGTATTTAAAGGAGTCACACTATGAGATCTACAAAAACTTGCTAGCATTGTGTTTAAGTACATTCAACCTGCGATTATCAACATAAACTATCTTCTGCAAAAGTAGAATTTTAGTCATCCAATCAATGTACTGTCTGAATAAAAATTTATTACTCATCTCCTCCGTACTTTGGAATACACGTTAAGCTTTTGGTCCTGTTTGATTCTGAAGTCGAATACCCACTAATCCACACCGAGTCCGTGTGGTGGGTAGTCTGTCCTCTCTGTTTTTTATTCGTGTAAGTGAGATTTAAATATGTGATTGTAATTAACTTTGAAATTAATTTTCTTGCATTTTTGTTTACTAAACATGCAATTTATTATATACCTACTGGACCATACAACGTAATGACAGTTAATCCGAGAACGCAGATTTTTAAGTTATACATTTATTGTGGAGCATGTCTGTCGTAAATCGTTCTTGAATGTCTTCGGCTTTATTACTTGCAGAAACTATGCCTTGTTTATTAAATATAAACATATTACGTGTACAGGCTACGAACACATTAATTATTGAATGAACAAGTAAACAATAACTTAAAACATTAATCATTTACATTTGAAAAATTACTATTTACCAGTGGGTATAAAATGAGGTGTGATTCGCAACAATGTCTGTATTCCCTGAGTTCCTATACTTACGCGTATAGTTCCGATCGAACACAATCACCAGACTACAACCGCGACTTAAAGTCCAGTCTCCAGACTCTTAAAACGTCTCTCAAGACAGTTGTGTGATACTCACTTCAATAATTTCTGATAACTGCCGATTCATACTTCTGATTAGAGAATATCCACTTAGCTCAGGAAAAATGAAACGACACCACGGTACTTGATTTAGCCAGCCTCCAGCCATGGCAAAAGCTTTGGTGCGGGCACGCAATATGTCCAGCAAGAATGTTAAGCGCTCTTCGTTTATTTGCTCTCCTGAAATTGATATTATCAAATGCAGAAGATTAGTATACGATGTAAGGTGATATTAAGGCAATATTTTCAAATAATACAGTTATCACAGTTAGACTGTTAGTTTGAGTTTATAAGGTGTTTTTATAATAGATATCCTATATTCACCGATGTCGCATAATTTCTTTGGTGTCGTCATTGCAATGGGCAGTGGCGTAACCTTTTGAGGCCCGTGGCAAATTCATCGGATATTCATTTTTTTACTAATTGCGTACTAATAAATGTCAGGAGTAAGAAGTCTTCTCTGACCGGGGGCCCCTTCCAGCTGGGGGCCCGTGTCAATTTGCCGACTTACCACCCTGTAGTTACGCCACTGGCAATGAGATACAATTCCAATCATTTTATAGTAACTAATGCAATGATCTACAGTCGAAAATTGACACGTGACCTATGAAATAGAATACTCAAAAAATATATTTAGCTCCTTCTGCAAAACCCATCGTGCGATTGTTGAAATATATCTAGCCTACTCGCTTCGTCACTTGTAGACTTAAATTAAGAAACTAATAAATTTGCGCATATGTTAAATGTCAATCAGAAAAAGCTATACTTTACTATATTGTTAGACTCTAGGTGATTACAATACTATTATTATTTGAAAAGAATACAGAAAAATAATATTTAATAGATGTAAGTATGTATTACATAATAGGACTCAGTAGTTTGACCGTTTGTTGAACTAAGTTTTTGTTTAAAATATTAAAGGTTTATAGAAACTCGTATGTTGTAGTAATATTGCATTACCTGCCACATACTTCCACAATACATTCATCACTGCCAGAGGCATAATACTCATGAGCTTTATTGGCCTGTCATTGTTTTTACCGATGTAATCGATTATGTTGGATAAAACATTTTGTATTTCTTTTTCCATTGCCGATTTTCCAAAGCCAACATTTCGTAATTGCTTCACTGTGAAATGCCTGTGCTCGCGCCATAGTGGTCCATCCGCAAAAGTGATGCCTAAAACCAAATATATAAGAAATATAATTTTAATTAAAAATAATCAATACAAATACTACATTGGATATTCATAATTACAAAAATATTTAAATTACTTTTATTGATAGTAGCTTTCCGTTAGTGGATTCACCCGTATGTTCCCTAGGTAAGTGTTTAGTGATATAAAAGATTCCTATATGTTCAGGATATAGTTCAGGATTTCATATCCGTATACCAAATTACATTAAAATCCATTCAGTAGTTTTTGCGTGAAAGAGTAACAAACATTTACAAATATTATAAATGCATAATGACGCAATCTAAACATATTTTCCTCTCATATTCAATATAATAAATTAATAACACAACTTTTTGAGTTGAGGGGAGTAGACAACTTTTTTTTAATAGATCCTATACATCAAATATATCTAAAAAAATATCATTCATGTAATAAGTTAAAATCTAGAAATATATTCCACGGAAACGCGACTTCGGTCAGGGCGTCACTAAGACGTCACAGCCCTTATAATATCGTTCTATGTATGCGTAAGGTTAAATTCTCTAAGTTCTAATATGAGTAAGAAGGGCGTGACGTCACGCGTTGTTTGCGGTCACGTGACAACGAGCATAAAATATTTGTTTTTTCATAATTAGTTTAAGTAATATTATAAATAAAATAAGCATAAAAGTGTGATTATCGGTAATAGTATATTAAATACTACCAGAAAAGAGAATGATTTTTATTTTCGTTTACCGTCTACACCCGTATTATACCATCGACTCACATCTCTGCTGCCAGAATAACATGAAATAATACGGTTAATTAATCATCATCAGCACTTTTACGTCCCCACCGCAGGGGCTCAGGCCTTCCTTATGGATGGTTAAGGAGGATAGGCCATGTCCCTCCACGCTGGCCCAATGCGGATTGGAGGGTATTAACGACTGCAAATGCAGCACCAACGGCTTAACGTGCCTTCCGAAGCAGGGAGTAGCTCGATATAATAATTTTTTGATCACCCATCCCGTGACCGACCCTTGCGAAAGTTGCTTAACGACAACGATCGCGGGCCGCGGCGCTTATCCACTACGCTACCGAGCTACCACGCATTACTGTACTGTATTTATTACTGTAACAAAAATGTGACAAATAGTTTTTACAGTCTTATTCTTATTATTATTTATAATGGACTCTCTCTTTACCTCAATCTTGAACTGAATGTTAAACACTTTCTAAGGAATTCTGTTTAATCTAAACTAATACTATAAAGATTAAAGTTATGATTGTTAGTTTATTTATATCGAATAAGCTCCAAAACTGCTGGACGGATTTAAAAAACTCTGACGTAGGCTATAATTTACGTGGACTAAATCGCGGCAAACAGCTAGTAAGTTCTAAAATGCCAAAAAGTTCGTATATTAAATATAATATCAATCATATAAATGCTGATAAAATTTGAAACAAATGTCTTGTTTCATACGTTATAAAAAGAACTCATTCTCTAACTTTATTTATGTTTTACATTTTTAAATTGGTTTGAAACCAACGCTAAACGACGAGGAAACCTACGAACTGTATTTTTTTTTCTTTTTACGGAATTCCGACATCGTGCCCTCGCTGTTGACCAAACTGAAAGTTTCCAGCAGTAATCGAAAGTTCACGATATAGACTAAATAGGTTTGAATTAAAATGGTATGACTAAATTTTAATACTTTTAAACATGCAACGAATATTTATCTTTTCCTTTTATTTAAAAAGTAACTTTTACCAAAACTATTTATTCCGGTTTACTTATTTTCATACAAGCTTTCATCCCTTGTTATATCGCAATATCGCCAGCCCTTTTACGACCCCACTGCAGGGGCTCAGGCCTTCCTTATGGATGGTTAAGGAAGATGGGCCATGACCCTCCACGCTGGCCCATTGCGGATTGGAGGGTATTAACGACTGCAAATGCAGCCGGTACCAACGGCTTAACGTGCCTTCCGAAGCACGGAGTACCTCGAGATAATAATTTTTTGGTCACCCATTCCGTGACCGACCCTTGCGAAAGTTGCTTAACGACTACGATCGCGGGCCGCGGCGCTTATCCACTACGCCACCGAGCTACTACTTATCCCTCGTTAACTTCTTCAAACCTTTAATTCGTGATTAAAGGTAACCTATGTCCTTAACCAAGATTAACTGTATTTTTGTAACTGTGCTTTAGGTGTGAATATTTACTAATCAGTCAGAGTACTTTATTTACACAATACCAGTTTGTACCCTATTAGTAGTAAACAGATTTCATTAATATTTAGTTATTCCATAAAAATGAATTTATTATACCTGTTATCATGAAACAACATAATTAAATTTGGTAATATATGAAAGTTAAATTTATTAATATATGTGTATTTTAAATGATAGCAATTCAAGTGAAAGATTGTAGAGACTACCTTTTATCATACATATTTATATTTAATTAATATTCCTCAGAACAGCCAAGAAGGTCGAAAAATATCCTATCTGCACCAAAACTACTTATATGCACAAAAAAATGAGTTATAAAATTGTAGTCATATTAAATATATGAAAACCCACACACATCCATGTATGGATATTTATATTTATTTATTTACTAGACGAACCAACGAATTTCGTAGCACATTATTGAATTAGTGAAATAACAAAATTCATCATTAAACCTTATAGATCGTTTGTGCTCCTTGGTGATGCAAACAGTTCATCTGACTGTGAGTTTAACCCTTACAAACAAATACTCGCATCATTCTTTCTAACTATTATTGGTTAAAATTTTAACACAAAAAAATTGTCATAACACTCACCTATTCTTTTTCCTAAACATCGTAGCTTAGCGAAGAAACTGTCAGGTCGCCCTTCAAACTCCTTATCAGTGAATGCCTGCCTAATATTCTTCTCACCATACACAACCACCACAAGTTCCTTCCCCAACTTTAAGCCCAGCACCTCCGTACAATACTCGTTTGCTAACACTGATAGTCCTTTCCACTGGGAACCATAACTTTTGGTCATACTATTAACTACACCGGTACACCCAATAAATGGATACCATTTTGGGCCTGGAACAGAAAAAAGTTTTTTTTTATTGTATGTTTCAAAAGCAATATTTACATTATAGGATTTACCATATATTATGTTTGCTATTTGAGGAATTATTGGCAAAGATCAGGGGTCTCCGACCTTACGAGACTGGAGAGTCAAAAGCTACAATTTACCGAATTTCACAGTTTTTAATGAGCTACTTGAAGATGTTTTCAATATTATATTTGAAATTCTATAAAAAATAAAGGACTTTGATTATCTATATCTGAGTTCTGGGCAGTTAATCTTAATTGTATGGTTAACTACGCAGTGATTACATAAATGAAGGGCTTTCGAGTTAATATTATTTGTGTAAATGGAAGCTGAGAGCCGTAACTTTATATCGAAAAATCAGCAGGTTGCCGACCCTTGTCATAGCCATTAAAACTGTATGTTGTAGAAACTGAGTGCCAAAAATCACGACCTTTACATATATCTTTAGGCTTGAGTTACATTCGGTGGAAAGGTATCGTTGTCTGTTTTCGTCACGTTATCGTTTTCATTTGCTATGCCGCGGAATCTTCAAGACGATAGAAATCCTAAAAATCTTTGAGACAATAGCAATCCTCGGAAGCCTCAACCCACTATCTTTCTCACTCAAGATAAAGTTCTGAGTGATAGAAAAGTAAAGCAACAGTTGCTTCCAGATTTTAGCTTCCTTGATGTTATTTTTTTTTCATACTCTAGCGGGTTTCTTGTATCTTCAAATTGACAGATACAAGTCTAAGTACGTATGAATTAGGCACGATTTTGTTTTTAATTCTTAATGTAATTAATTAAATGTTAAAATTTCTAGTTGATCGTTATTATTCGAAATAATTTAGAAATAAAAGTTAAGTCTTAAAAGAAACTGATGACCAAAATACACACTTTTTAGTATACAACAAGCCACATGCAATCCTGAATATATGTACAGTCAATAAACGCGGTGCTAGAAGATACGAGAAATCAATTCAACTCCAAGGTTATTTCAGTTAAATATTCTAAATGGACTGTACTTTCGACCACAAGTTTCTATTAATATAAGTCTACATATAAAAGATTTCTTTACTGAAAGACTTTCTCTCTGTAGTTTTATATACAAGTGGCATAGGTTTGTTTTACTTTCACGATAACCGCTTGTTGCTAACCTAGACAGTATAAACAACATTGACTTCTAACGTTCGATTACATTTCAACTATTCATCGTAACATACATAACTAACACAAAGGTAGTATACCTTAAAAAAAACGACTACAGTAATGGATCGATAATTTTACATTGTTCCAAGCAGGATTCTTTGAATAACGCATCATTTAAAAACAACAAGTCAAGTAAGTTCCTTTGAAAATGTAACCCAGGTATACAAAAGAGCTATTGTTACATTCCGTGAAAGAAATGTGAAGATAATTTATTAACAGGCCCAAATGATGAAATGCCACAAACAATTTGACCACTCTAGTGGCTGATTAGTTATCAGACCGGGTCTTCCATAGTCATTCACTAGTAATGTAAACGTGGGAGAATAACTTATCTATAATTGCTATCTTAGGCCTGAAAGCGACTCAGACTATTTCTTATTGATGTGATTCATGGCAATACTTCAGATGCTTTAGATATCATACAATATCGTTGATATTAAAAAAATAAAACCTTCAAACTTTAAAAATTTGATAAATAATACTTATCCCAAAAGCAACTTTTTCACGAATAGTAATGAAGTCAGTCGAAGGGTTTTTGTAGGTTATTAATAAATTGATATGTGCCTGACTTCAGCAGCATTATATATATATATATATATAGCATCATTAGTGAATGAATATTAAAAATGCAATATCTAAACAGGTATGTTATTAATTCATCGAATACAAGGAAGTTAATTTTTGCAACTGGAATATGACTGCTAATCCTAAAGATAGGCAAGAAGATAAGGCAACTAAAAATGACTCATTCTAAATTCATCGATAATTCAATTTGTTTTTGCAGTACTAACGGATTGACTTAGCAGAGGGATAGAAATATGTACTATACTTACTAAATTAAAAACTTTTAGCATGTTTTTTTAATCAATTCAAACAAATATAATAAGTTAATTTTAGACGTTGTTATTTATTATCGTTATACAATATTATATATAAACTTTAACAATATATGTAATTTTAAAAGTAAGCTTACTCGAGTAGATTTATAATTATCAACTTAGCCTGGTGTCATTCGTCAAAATAATATTATTCGCATGAGCAAAAAACAGATTAATCGACTAAGATTTTAAATAGGAATAAATTGGAGTACAACAAAACTACCGTTATTATTAAAGACATATGTAACACAACCGCATGCACGTGTAACCTTCGCTTTACAAGCACGATCGATCTATCATATTAGTTGTAACAGAGAGGTTATATTCGCTTGAGGAATATAAATAAATATATAATACAAGACAACTGTACCAGTTAAAAAAATGGATATAACACACCAAATCGAGCTTTTATTGAAATAAGAGCTTTATAATTAAATTATAATCACTTACCCGGTGGAAATTTTCTGGGTTTCGTTACACTTTTTATAACACATACAGTTATAAATATGAGTATTAAACTAACTAATGTCAATAACATAATCGTTTTATTGAAGGGAAGAATAGTTTCGATTATGCGCAAGAGTCGTTATTACTATCGGCACGGCAGACGACGAGGTGACTCGGTACGAATACCAAAGAGCGACTGCACATTTTGAATCATCTGTCCGCATTGTGTGGCTTATTTAAACGAGCCAAACCATTCCAATGGATAATCGAACACCATGGTTATGTAATGATTGTTATTTTACGCTTTCATACTGTGGCGTCTTTAAATTGTGCATTTTTTTTATTAGTTATATTTTTAATAGTTACAAATTCGTATTTTGACTAATTGAATAAGCTTTCACAAAATTTTGATTTTACTTATGTGCTTATCTAATGAAGTAATGTGGTGTATTTGTTTAGAGATAATATTCAGTATTTGTATCGGTACCATATCGGTTAAATGCCATAGTTTCATATGAGCCTCTACAGTTTTATTAAGCGGTAAAGTAAAACATATCTTAACACCATGTTGGGCATATTATTAAAAATATAAATTATTTCAGGTCAATAATAAGCAATAATTCTTCAACCGGAAGAGATTCATTGTTGGACAAAAGTTCACCCACAATCATCCATCCCGCCCTGCCACCCAACGTTTTTCGAGATGTTGATCAGTCTTTTCATCAATTAGGAGCATGCCTATATGCCTCTTCCAGTAAATAATCTGATCGCTACTCACAGATGTAGCTACTACATTTCTCATCAATGTCATTGCATATGTCGTAGCTTCGGTTCATTTGAGGATCTCCTGTTTCTTGATTCGGTCTCGCAGACAATCACCGAGCATATATTTCTCTCTTTGGCCTTTTATGGGACTTTCAGTCGATTTGTGAGGTCAACAGTCAGCAATCAAAACTCAGCTCCGGCAATATGATCACAAACTTCGTTTTGAGACACTTCTTTAAACGACTTCAAAAAGAAGGAGGTTCCCAGTTCAACTGTATGTTTTTTTTTATTCAATAGCTTAATGGGTCGAGGTTTATCCTAATCAAATCAGTAGTTGTTTTAATAACTAAACAAAATATCACCTAAATATTATGAAGACATTTTGATATTAGCGAAAATTATATTATATATTGATTTTTTCTTGAAGCTGTTAATATTTTAGTGATGCCTTTATAAAAGATTTATATAATATCTATACATAAATATCAGTAAATGTTTTTAAATTGTAAATTAAAATTTTTCAGGAGATATTGAGTTCGAGCGGTTATCATTATAATAAAACTACCAAAACCTTCGTCCAACTTCAATGCTTGTTGAAAAATTTAATCACTTTTAAAATGAAATAGGTAATAAAATACTTAAAACCTATTTAATGTTTAATCTGAAAATTTATGTTTGTTCTAATCTTTCTTTATTTTTATCTTAACATGTTTCGTTTCCTTAAGAATTGTTTTATGATGGAAACTTAATTGATGTGAGACATTTCATATATTATTTTATTTAATTGTAATAAAAATGGTGTTTATTTTATACATTCTGATCACAGCTGGGTTACTGAGACTGAGAAAATTGTCTGTCCTCACAATTAATTTTAGTTTTGGTCGTGGTAAAAAACCATATCCTTGTATGGTATCGTTAATTATGGCTGTCTTGAAGAGGAGTTTATTATTGGGTTGGCACAAAAGTAATGAGACACTTGGTTTAAGTTTTTATTTTTTTATTATTATTACAATAAAAAAAGTTTAGTCAATGATGTAATTACCATTAGTATCTAAGACTTCTTGCCAACGATCCGGCAAAGTTTGGATGCCTTTTGCCCAGAACTCTGATGGCTGTGCCTCGAAAAAATTGTTCAACTCCGCCTCTACGTCAGAGAAATCATTAAATTGTTTACCCCGCAAATGCTGTTTCAGGGCTCTAAACAAATAATAATCTGATGGGGCGAGGTCTGGGGAATAAGGTGGGTATCGTCTCCCAGCCCAAGTTCTCCAACTGCCGGCAAACCACAGATGCGACGTGAGGTCGAGCGTTATCGTGCAGTAAAACTACATTGACTCGTCTTCGTCGTTTTTTCTTGATAGCGGCAGATAATTTGGTAAGCTGGGTTGAATATTTGTCAGCGTTAATAGTTTCATTGTGTAATAGCTCATAAAACAGTATGCCTTGCGCATCCCAGAAACAGCAAAGCAGAATTTTTCGGCGGTTCTTTTGACTCGGCTTCGGTTGAGTTGGTGGCGTTTCTTCTCGAGGCAGCCAAAAAGCACGACGTGTATCGTTCTCGTAATAAATCCATGATTCATCTCCAGTAACCAGATCTGACAAAAACTCTTTACGTCGGGGTCGCAGCAAAAGTGACTGACAGATAGCGACACGGACTGCACGACTGGCGTCTGTAAGGATGTGCGGTACCCACCGAGCCAAAACTTTTCGATAACCAAGCTCATGCAGATGGTGTTCCACGGCGTGGTTACTGCATTTAAGTGCTTCCGCTAATTCACGAGTGGTAGCATCCGGATTCAACTGCAGTTCGCGGCGCAAATCGTCATCATTCACTGCGGGTGGTCGCCCTGAGTGTGGCTGATTTTCAAGGCTCCTGTCTCCTGATTTAAAACGGTCAAACCATCGGGACACCGTCGCATGGCTTGTACTTCCAGCGCCTAATGCATTGTTGATATTGTCAGCCGCAGCCCGCGCACTGTGGTCTAACAAGTACTCGTATAAGTATAGTGTTCGAACTTGTCGCTCGTCCATTTTTCTTCAAACTGACTAAACAAATCGCGAGCGCGGCTTTATATACCCTACACCAGAAATACCTAGAATGTTCTACAACATTCTAGAATATTATCGAAAAAATTGATTTTAAAAAGGAAATGTTATAGATTTTTCTAGTGTGTCTCATTACTTTTGTGCCAACCCAATACTTATAATGTCTTCTTGCAAACTTAATCTTTTCTTCTTTTTTTATAAATATTTAAATTAAAATATGCAGAAAGGAACACCTTGTAATTATTTTTCTCCATTTCATTAGCTACAGCATATTGTACGGTAAGTTTAATCAACACTTATATCACAAAGATATATATATTTTTTAACTTTGGGGTAATCTTCGAAAATAATACGATCATGAATATTCTTGGGCATGACTACATGATGGGCAGGTGACAGTGGCTATAATTTGCGGAAGCGAAATCAATTTTGACAGAACTTTCACAGGTAGATAGCTTATGTAATAAAGACGAAGTCCAGGTCCAGTAATAAAATAATATTCACCTATTTTTTTTTTTTATTTCAACGCTTAGCCATTTCCTTTCTCGTCAGTGTTACTATAATGACGGAGATATGTTCTCAACCCTTTTTAATTGTAATAAATTCAAACAGGAACTAACACGTGAGTGGCAACGATGGTTATCACAGGATCTGAATGCTTCAGCATTCACTACGATTGTATAAAAAATACTTACGAGACACACTTGGTTCTCCTATACATGTTATGTAATATTTATGTACTTTGTTAAAGGTTAGTCGTAGTTGAAAATACCTAGAGATGTAATGTAAGTTGAGTATTATAATTTTCACAAAAAGCACAGATAAAATATATTGTTCGTCAGTAATTCCAAATAACCAATTACTATCACGGAAACGCATTTTAATCTTGTAATTTTGACCACAGTAATTTCAGCTATTTCACTTTATTGATAAAAATAATTGAAATCGTTGGCGCACGAAAGAGTGATAGATAAGTCATTTATGACTACAACAAAAGCGGTCCCAAATGTGAAACTTGCGGAACTCTCGAAAAGGCAGCGATATATGCTGAAGAATAACCGTTCACAATCGAGTCCACTTAATATAAAAGATTCTATCTAGCCCATGAATGCCATATTGTTTAAATTTGAGACTCAGCAAGCATTTTCCTATTCACTTTATCAAAGCTTTACTGATGGTAAGTTATAAACATCAGTTTTCCCGAAAAAAAGGTTTTCCCCATAAAACTGTGTTGATTATGAGGCTCTAAAGTAATATTATTTCCACACGATTGAAAATTGCTTATATAAGCCCTGTTACTCTGCTGTATCCAGCTTTCTGTTGTTTCCCTACTTCTGTTTCCTTTCTTTTTTAGTTGTTTAATCTACCATTGAAAACTAAAGACAAATTGAAGAACGAAAAAATATTGTAACAGTTATTATTTTTATGACTAGCTGATACAAAAATATCCTTTCCACAAACCGTACTGCAACAAGTTAGTTCAACAATTTGAAAGCTGTATTCGCATGACTTTGTCATAGCACCGAGTGTCTCTCGTCGGCTTGAAATATCGAACTCAAAACAGTTCACATGACCGGACAAAGCTGAAAGCGGTCGTTCGTAAGTGTTCCGACGACGGAACAAAAAGAGCATGGATTTTGTTGTATTATTTTTTAAAGGATTCACTTTTCTCATAAAATGTAACGTAAATTTCACTTAAATGTAAATATTGATTATAATCTCACCATAAAGAAGCATAATATTTCTTGAGCATGTCTTTGTGAGAGTCTATTGTGATTATAAAGAGATATTTTATTTTGGGGGCTAACTGTTTGAATTGCTTAATTTCTTACTAAAGAGCAAATTACTTGCCTCAATAGATGACAGTCTATTTAACAATAAACAAACACCTTTTACTTCACCAACAAAAAACATACATTGGAGTGTAATAAAAATCTAATAGATAGAAACAATTAAAATAATAATAATGAGCCTATCAATAAAATTAATAATTAATAATCTTTTTCTTTAATAATAAAATTAATCAATGGCAATGCGGTGTCGGCCACAGAAATTATTTTTAATTAAGATGTCGGTTATAATTGTTTAAATATCACAAACTGTCCAGAAATATATAATATAGAAATGCATTGTTAACTGTAACTATAGATGTTAGTTCACCAGAACTGTAAGTGAAAATGGAGTATGGAACAAATTTCTAGGGCGACAACAGCAAGGTGGTATATTTAAATTAATTTTTGAAACTAGTAAGTACTTGATTTTTGATTATTACTGTTTGATAATTTTACGATTTCATTTGTTTACAACCACGAAGTAGCAAAGGTTATTCAAAAGCTTATAGTAGATTCGGTTATGTTCTGTCGACTTCATTAAATTGGTGTTAATTTTGAACATTCCAATTAATTTACACAGCGCATGCCCTGCA